CAAATCATGGCAAGATTACAGATTTAGGAGAGAGTGGCTGATTCGAGATTTAAGAAGATATTACCCAGGAGAGGAAAGCACGGTTCAGTGCTCTGAGCTGCAGAGTGGGCGTCACTAGCTCTGCATTAGAGCCACTGACCTTGCCGAAGTCAGTTGCCTCTTCTGCCCCACCTCCGGCAGGGATGTGTAGGGGACAATCACTGGGGGTTAATGGGGAAAGGCGTCTGTCTCCCTCCCCCATTTTGTGCTCTCTGCGCAAATGGCTCCTGTCAGGGGCAGGTTAGTGATCAGAGTGGGAGGCAGAAGGAGATAAGGGAGGCAGGGCATGAGGAAGGACATCGGTAAGGCCGTATGAAAGCAGGGGGAGGGGTCGAGAGCTGGGTGGGATATCTGCGTGCGCGCGGGCTGAATGGGAGAAGGCAGAGAGATTATGCGGTGGAGCAGTTCCCACTGCTCACAGGGAGCAATCAGAGAAGAAGGTGACCTTTCCTGTTAGCAACAGGGGCACTTTCCCAGCCTGGACTGGAGGGTATCCAGTGCTGACAGAGGATCTTTCTCATAACAAGTCTCAGAAGGGGAGTCATGTTAGTCAGTAACTGTAAAAACAATGAGCAATCCTGTGGCACCTTAGAACTGGGAACATTTTAACCTCCCTGGACATTCAATAATGGATTTAAAAGTAGCCATCCTTCTATAAAAGAATTTTATTACCCGATTACAGAGGGAGACAGCTGAACTGGAGTTCATTTACAAGTTCAGTGCTATCAACTTAGGCTTGAATACAGATCCTAACTGGTTAACGCGCTACAAAGCCAATTTCCCCGTTTTTGATACTCGCGGCTCCACATCAAATGCTGTGAGTGCTGCTATAGCCATGCATTTAGTCCACAACTCCATCTATGTTTACAGCATACCTGGAGGGGAGCATGTACCTGTGTGTGGAGTGGGGGAGTCAGCCCCTTTCTAATATGCAATTGGACCAATAATATTCATGGACCAATCCCATTGCTTAGTGCATTGGGGCTGACTCACTTTTTTATTTGACATCTATCTAGTTTGCCACATCCATCCTGACTTAATTAGCTTCATTAACACTGGTCCTACAATTGACAGGTAACATCTTTTGCTGTTATATATGGATTCTGTAATTTGCACTCCAACTCATCCAAGGAAGTGGGTTTTACCCATGAAAGCTCATGATCTAATACATTTGTTAGTCTCCGAGGGTACGTCTACACTGCATCCCTAGTTCGAACTAGGGATGCAAATGGAGACAATCGAAGTAGTTAATGAAGCGGGGATTTAAATATCCCGCGCTCCATTGACATGATCTCGCCGGCGCGCTAGTTCGAATCACAGCTGATTCGAACCAGGAAGTGCGCACCAGGACGCGTTAGTTCGGACTAAAGCCCTTAGTCCGAACTAATGTTACTCCTCAAAAAATGAGGCCATGTAGTTTAGACACACCCTAAGCATGATTGATGTCTGCCTCGGGGATGTTGGGAGGCTTACGAGATCCTGGAATGGAAGGTGCTCCAAGAAGGCAAAGCAGTAGTGACAATCGAACACAGCAGTGACAATCTTTACCACAGAACCTTTGGCCTGCACGCTTCCATTTCACATCTAGCCTAGGACAGTCACAGTCAGAGGACTGCTCAGTGTCTGCAGCAAAAGGAGCTTGCTAGACTCAGGCCCCAAGAGACCACATTAAACACCTATGGCAGTCACAGCTGGCTCCACTTGACAGTACCACTGACAGACTCAGCAGAAGCCAGGGTCTGAATGGGGGATGTAAACTGAGGTGGTACCTCAGTACCCCACTTAGGTCTGAGACACAGCAAGAGGGTGAAGGAGCCTGGACCTGATGCTGTGTGTGCTGCCCCAGTTTTGGAATAAAGAGAAGCCTGCAGTTTCCAGGGCTGTCAGCTCCAGTAGTAATGTCACATGCTGTGATCTCAGGCCATGTCTCCACTTACAGGAGGAGCAACACTCTGGCGATGGGGTTTGATTTAGTAGGTCTAGTAAAGACCCGCTAAATTGAATGCTGAGGGTGCCCCTGTTGGTGCCAGTACTCCTTGTTTTCATGAGAAGGGAAGTTGGCAGGAGCATTTCTCCCATCGATCTCCCGCTGCGGAGATGACACCAGGCTCGGCAGAGTAGACCCAGCCTCTGAATATAGGTCAAGTAAGAGGAGTGTGGAGACCAATAAAACTCCAAATTCTGCCCTGTATCCAGTGAACAAGTGCTCTTTCCAGTCTGCCCTTGATACATTTGCTCTTGGCATCATTAAGCAACAAGGTCGGAACTTTCACTGAAATCTCTTAAAGCTAGGGAGGTATGTATCTGGCAGTAACTTGCATACCGACAGCTGCAATTGTGTGTCCATTCACACCTCAGGATTGTAACACTGTGCCTTAGTAGGAATGCTGAAGCAAAATGCAGGACTATAATCACCTTATAAATCAGCTGTGGGTTTAAAATTGATATCTTGTATAACAGCAAATTTATTAGTTTCTAAGGAGCCACAGGGCTGCAATGTATACATATGTAACAGTGTATACCTTGATATTTTAAACAATACTCTATGTGAATGGGCGAGATGTTCCTGAAGGGGAAAAACTAACTTCACGGGCCTATCTGAGACTGATCCTGATTTGTCCACCTTCTAGAAGGTGATTCATAAAGTTAAGATCAGCACTTTAGGATATTTCTAGCTCTGCTGAGCCTTGATGTAGATGCATAAGATACATCTCTCTTTCCAGCTGTCCCTTGCCAGATCTCACTCAAGTCCTGCTATGAGAATGTGATTTTAAAAATAAATCTTTTATTTAAAAGTAGAGCTGCAAAACTGAAATGTAGACCAGCCCTGAAAGTCTGTGTCAATTTCCCCCACTAACTGGCCACAAGCGGGCATTCAGCAAAGATATTTTCCTGTGGGGTATCATCCAGTCTGCTCCACATCACTGCATCTTGATTGGTAGCACAGGTAGCCCTCATTTGGCAACACTGATTAAGGATTTTGTCCTTTGGTTGCATGGAGGAGGGGTGTCACTGACGTTACAGAATCATGCACTTTGGAATGTCCTTAGTGAACCAGGAAGTGCTGGAAGATTTGGTGGGTTGGAGGGGAGAGAAGTTTTGGGAAGGTTATTTACAACTTGTTTTTCCCCGGGTCTACTGCCTTTTGGTTAGCAGGGGCACTCAACAGAGAGCTACGGGCTTAACTTAGTGTTCATCTGAGCTTTGCATTTCACCTTGAAAAGTCAAAGTGATTTATAACTTATAATAAGTGAATGGGACTCGTGATGTCTTGGGTACTAACTAAGGTCTTTGTGTCACTTCTAAACTCTCAGTAGTGCTACCTGCCTCCTGCATCAGGGAATCTTGCCTCTGCTCTGTAAGTTGGCAATAGATTCACCCTTTGGGATTCAGCGCCTGGATACCCACCAAAATCCCAGCGTCTCTGTTCCCAGAGGAACAGCGTTCCTCAGCTTAGCAGTTGTACCTCAGCCTACTGCTCCTGTGTCTCACACAGCCCTTGCGTTCAATTATAGTAAAAGACAAGGAAGTGTATTTAGGAAAGATGAGCACTTCAAATAGAAACAAGCGTGAGTGATGGGAAAAGGGTTACACATAAAATGCAAATCAGAGCCTCCACTTAATAACAATTACCTTTCCTGTCTGCTAAAGTGGAATCTTACCCCAAAGCTCAGTTTTCTGCAACATTTGCTAGCTACGAGAAGCTATTCTCCACTCAGCAAGGCTCCTTCATGAATGCATCCAGTCTTTCTCCACCCGGTAATTCGCTGCATCAGTCTTCAGCTTTTATTCACAGGCAGGGGGATCGCCTCTCTGGCCTGTTGTTCTTTTCTCCTTCCAAATGGCTTTGATGGCTAAAGTTTGTCTTTCATGTCTGGCCATTGACTTTCCTTGGTTGAGGCAACAGAGGATAATTGAGCTATACACTAGGGATATAAAATCCCGTTTAACCAATTAAGGGGAGGGCGAACGCTCCAGCAGAGCTATGCGGCCCTCCAGCCCAGCTGTTCCCGGCCCTCCCTGGGCACTGCTACTGCTGCCATGGCTCCTGGCCCCCCGGGCCCTGCCACTGCAGCTCCTGCCCCCCCTCCCCACGGGGGCAGTGGTTGTTGGCTCCCAGCCCATGGGGCTGGGAACCAGCAGCCCCGCACAGGGTGCCAGTGGAACTGCTCCCAGGCACCGGGTAACTGTTTAACCGGGTACCAGTTAACATTCCTACTATACACTGTGATCGGCTAGCCAGGGATAGGGATTATGTATCTCAGTTCCCTGGTGACTCCCTTTCACTCCAAGATCATAAGGGCAAATGTTTCAGTAAAGTGACATTATTCTTTAAATATCACCCATCTCCCAGTGCTCATGAATATCAATAAGTTAAAGGCTTTCACACATGCTACCCTTCATGGATAAATACCATGAAAGTGGTGCATGAAATACCATGAGTTTGTGAGGCCTGAGACAGGAGCCGGTTGTGAAAGAGTAAACCTTTTTCCAATTGGCACCAGTGGGCCTCTGTGTCACAATCGCCTCTTGTGTTCTTAGTGTAACTAAACTGTTGGGCTCTGCTTTTCTTTCACCCCAAGAACTTCTGCAGGGAAGCGCTTCCCTTGGTTAGGCAGGAGAAACATCCATTGATCTATAAACAGAGGATGCTTGGTATAGCGCCAGAAGAAATTCTTAGGGATACATTCACCTCTGGAGTAATTCCACTGATTTCAGGGATGATGGATACATTTGTCTGCTGCTGTGTCACACATGAAAATGCACAGCCCCATTCCTGCACTCGTCTCGCCATTCCAGAGATGACAACATGTGCCCTCTGGGCCACTGTCCAGGCTTGGGGTCTTGCAGTCACTCCTGCTCCAGTTTGGAGGTTTCTGTCCGTGGGCTTGCTATTACCTCTGTTCCCCTCCAGGCTTTTAAATGCTGTTTTGCCTTTTTTGTTTCTGTTCACTCTGCAGCGGCCTCCCACGACGACCACCTCACACGCGATGTTCTATGGATCTTCGTCCGCCATGTCCCCACCTTCCAAAAACAAGCTCAAGCGTCAGAGCCGAATATTCTCTCAGGTCTTATACCGGACGCTGAGCTATAAGGACCGCAGCTCGGTGTCGGCTTTCCCGGTGGCCAGCAGCGATGACCCAGCTGAACTTTCCACTCAGGTCTCGACCCCAGGGGTCCTGAAGATATTTGGGGGCAACATCTGCGCAGGCACCCACTACAAGAGCGTCCTGGCCAGCGGGAGTTCAAGTGCACAGGAGCTGGTGAAGGAGGCACTGGAGCGCTATGGGCTGAGCAAGGTGGACGCTGGCCACTATGTGCTGTGTGATGTTATCGGGATGTTCGGCGGCTCCGAGAAACAGTGGCAAACGGAGGGGTTGCGAGTCTTCGGTGATCATGAGAAGCCTCTTCTGATCCAGGACCTATGGAAGCCCCGGGAAGGGTTCTCCCGGCGTTTGGAGCTACGGAAGAGATCAGAGGTGGAGGAGCTGACTGCGAGGGACATAGACACGATCACAGCAGGTAAGAGGCTCGCGGAGAGCTACGGATAAATGCTAAGCTGGACAAGGGCCTTGGGCTGAGCCATTGGCTCTTCATTTTGAGGAGTTGCTAGATTTTGTGCTTCTACTGGTGGTGCACCTTCACACATGCCTTGATGCACATAACATTTTATTCTGCACATGCACGGAAAAAATCTGTATTTGAATGGGAAAGATTAGAGGGAACATTACTCCCTCATTTTCCCCCACATCAGTGGAGGTCTGGCAATTTACAGCAGCTGGGAATCTGGCCCTGGGAATACTGAAGATCTTTCCTGAGCTAGTGATTGTTTATATTTGTTGTAAAGTGATATCGCCCAGTTAAAGGTGAAAAGTCACAATCAGGTGCACTCCAGACTTTTTCAAAGGTCATTACAGAGATGCCATTTCTGCTGTCCATCTCCCTGGGGGTTCAGAAGACCTGACAGGTAGAGGAATCCATAAATTTCCACTGTCCAAGAGGGCAGGATATTAGTTTTAGGTATTCTGCACCTTCCGTATGATGCAGAGCTGTATTGTACAGAGCTTAGTTCTGATGGTAAGAGACCTGTGGATCCACATAAGAACAACCCAACTGAGTCAGATCAAAGATCCATCTAGCCCAGTATCCTGTTTTTCCAACAATGGCCAAAGCCAGCTGCTCCAGAGGGAATGAACAGAATAAATAATCGTCAAGTGATCTATCCCCTATTACCCATTCACAGCTTCTGACAAACAGAGGCTAATAGCCATTGATGGGTTTTTTTGAACCGGATTATAGTCTTGGACTTCACAGTGTCCTCTGGCAAGGAGTTCCATAGGTTAACTGTGTGTCGGGTGAAGAATTACTTTCTTTTGTTTGTTTTAAAAGTGTTACTTATTAATTTAATTTGTTCTTACGTTATGGGAAACAGTAAATAATTCTTCTTTATTCACTTTTTCCATGCCAATCATGATTTTATAGACTTCTATCATATCGCCCCTTAGTTTTCTCTTTTCCAAGCTGAAAAGTCCCATTCATATCCCTAATAATTTTATTGTCCTTTTCTGAACTTTTTCAAATGCTGAGATATCGTTTTTGAGATGAGGTGACCACATCTGTACACAGTATTCAAGATGTGGGCGTACCATGGATTTATATAGAGGCATTAAGATACTCTCTGTCATATTCTCTATCCCTTTCTTAATGGACCTTTGGTCTGACCCAGTACGGCCATTCTTATGTTCTTATGTTCTAACAATAGGTTAGAAACCATGGTTAGTAGATCCCCAATTTCACATTTGTGTTCTTTCAGAATTCTTTCAGAATTTCACATTTGTGTTCTTTCAGAATTCTTTGGTCCTGTTACTTATTAGGCTGAGTCTAGACTGGCAAGTTTTTCTGCTTTTGCGGAAAAACTTGCCAGCTGTCTACACTGGCCGCTTGAATTTCTGCAAGAACACTGACGATCTCATGTAAGAAATCAGTGCTTCTTGCAGAAATACTATGCTGCTCCCATTCAGGCAAAAGTCCCTTTTGTGCAAAGCTTTTGCGCAAAAGGGCCAGTGTAGACAGCTCAGATTTGTTTTGAGCAAAAAAGCGTCTAGATTGGCACAGACGCTTTTCCACAAAAAGTGCTTTTGCGGAAAACCGTCCGTGCCAATCTAGACGCTCTTTTCCGCAAATGCTTTTAACGGAAAACTTTTCCGTTAAAAGCATTTGCGGAAAATCATGCCAATCTAGATGTAGCCATTACTGTTTAGCTTATCAGTTTGTTCCAGAACCTCTTCGAATGACTCCTCCATTCGGAACAGTTCCTCAGATTTATCCCCTAAAGAGAATGGCTCAGGTTTTGGAATCTCTCTCACATCCTCAGCCGTGAAGTTAATGTAAAGAATTCATGGATTTTCCCCACAATGACCTTACGAGGAAGGGAAATCAGTGTGGGGTATAGGCACAGCTGCCACAGAGCCAACCGCATCTTGGAGGCTACCATAACAACCCCAGAAGCAGGGCCAGATTAAGGCATAGGCTAGCCGGGCAGCTGCCCGGAGCGCCAACCTATGGGGGGCTGCCATCAGGCGTTGCGTGCCCCGCTCCCGGATCGCGGGCTGCAGCAGCTCCCAGCGGCCACCCTGCAGCGGCTGCCAGGGGCAGGAGCCGCGTTAACCCCCACAGCACTGACCAGCAGCGCCCTTCCCCCCGCAGCCGCAGGGCCCTGCACGGCCAGGCTCGGCCCACCCCGGGCGGCCCTGGGTTGCACGCCAGCAGCGGTAGCCAGGCTGGGCCGGGCACGTGCATCCTGCTGCCGCCAGCTCCGCGCGCCCTCCCCCACACATGCGCCCTCCCCCAACCCAGTGCGCAATTAAACTGTCTTCCCGGGGTGCTGGAATTGCTCGGTCCGGCCCTGCCCAGAATCATGGGGGGATCCTATGCCGAGGATAGTCTTAGGCTTGGGACAGGGCTTAAGGTTTGACCCAGAGGAATTGAACTCATTAGGATACAAGAAAAAATCTAACTTGAAGGATCCTTAAACACTCTAGCAGAGATTGTGGGAGGTGGTGGAATCCCTGTTTTGGAGGATTAAAGAACAGGTCAGACAACTCTAGGAATTCTTAACCCTGCCCCAGTAGGGGGCGCTCCACTTGAGGACTTCTTGTGACCCCTTCCAGCCCCGTGTCTCTATGATTTTATGACAATTCTGACTCTCACCTCCAAATTGTATGTCAGCATTTTAGACTCTGCTCATCTGCTGTCTCTCCAATCATAGTTAAATTACATTATGATGTTGTCTGGAAGCCTGCAGACTGTTTTGCTATTGGCTGAGTTCCCTGTCTCCTCTCTCTCCCCCATTCCCAATTAGCCATTATCTTTATCAGTGGAAAAACCTCAACCTGCAAGTTGAGCCCTTAGCTGATTTCATTTCAGTTCCAGCAGGACTCACGCAGTGGTGGGAGGCTCGTAGGGAATTTTAGAAATAATCAAAATGAAATAAAGAGACAACGAGAAAAAAAGCAACGTGGGCCGAACCCCGCTCTTCAGTATTGCCCGTAGCACTCTGGGTCCATGGGTGGAAAGTGGAGATGAATTGTGAATCGGAGGGTGTGTAAAAGACCCAAGTGCAATGTACCGAGGCTCTGTTTTCCCTTCCTAAATGGACACCCACTTCTGGGGGGTTAATATCAAACTCGACAGACATTGGATGACTGCAGTATCTGAGCACCTGACCCCACGTCATCAGAGATTGCTCTGAGTAGGAGAGAGAGGAGGGGTTCTAATGCATGGTGGGTATCTTCTTAGCCCGCAGTTCTCACAGCTGCTTTTGCAGAGGGACTATGATACGATTTCCTGTTATTGTCACTGATTCCCCAGCAGGATATTGTGTTATGGGGAGAGGTGCCAAGGAGAGGGTTAATGAGGAGTTCAAACACAGGCCTGGGGCTGAGAGGACACTGTGCAAGTTGACTGGACAGAGGCAGGGAGCAGAGATGTAGCTGGAAGCAGAACTGGGCTCTGTGTCCTGGTAGCTCTTCATTGTCCATGTAGGAATCCATGATAGGCTGGGCTGGGTCCAGAAGCCAGGTATGATGGGCTGCAAGGCTCGGTATTATGTGAGGTTTATATTGAAGCCCATTTTTGTTTTTGAGAAATAAAGTGATGGCTAGTAGAGGAGTGTGACAGCTATACCAGAATATTGTGAAGAATCTTCTTAGCCAGGTGGCAAAGTCCATCCCTCTTCATAAGAGGTGAGAGATGATATAAGCATTGCTGCTCAGGTACATGGAGGTCAGGGCCAGATGCTATAGGCAGAGCCCTGTACGGATACAAAATTGGTATCTCCATCTGCAAACATGATCTATGGATAGCAGCAGCACATTTGCAGGATTCTAGATACAAAATCCGTACCTGCATCTGTATCCACAAAAATGAGCTGCAGACAGCCACATTCATGGATGCAGATACTTGCAAATATAAAGCGGCTATTTCCAAATTTTAAGGGGTCTCGATACTAAATTTGTACCTGCATCTGCAAAAATGAGCTTTGCATATCCACATCCAAGGATGCAGATACGCGCTGATATAAAGCGGATCTCTGCAGATTTGCAGGACTCTAGCTATAAGTACCTAGCTGTATTTCCACCACTTTAACCGTACCCATGGGATTCTATGGATGATATCAAGAATAATAACGCACCAGTTTTCAACTTGTTTACCATGGTGGGCTGCATATGCATCTCTCTCTGTGTTATCTGGGCTGCAACCACGCAATATATATAAAACAAAAAAGAGGACTATGTAGCACTTTAAAGACTAACAAGATGGTTTAATAGGTGATGAGCTTTCGTGGGCCAGACCCATTTCCTCAGATCAAATAGTGGAAGAAACTGAGGAAGTGGGTCTGGCCCACGAAAGCTCATCACCTATTAAACCATCTTGTTAGTCTTTAAAGTGCTACATAGTCCTGTTTTTTGTTTCCGCTACACCAGACTAACACGGCTACATTTCTAGCAATATATATACACATTGTATGACCCTGGGGATGTCACATGGGCCGCAGCTGTGTGCTGACTGGGCCGTTAGCGGTCCACAGGTTACAAGTAGAGAACCACTGCTATAACCGCGAACACAGAAAGAATTAACAACCTGCTGAAGGGAATTCGGACTCTTTCCATTGGTCTTAATGTGCGTTGGATCTTGTCCAAACTGAACAAGTAAAGGAAATTCAGAGGGAAGCAGGTGGCTCTTTGAGGCACGGTGAGGAGCAGGTTTTTCAGGACACGTTGCTCTGGTTCTGTATAGTCCTGGGAAGGCTCCCATGTTTCAGAAAAGCCATAAATGTTGTGTGGTGATATAAATGCAGCCCTTTCCTCCCAACAGTATCCACCGTGGCAAGAATCCACGCTGCATAGTAAGAGGCCAGTCTTTCTAGAACCTCAGGATAAAGTTTCTTTGGAAGTCTTTCAGCAAGTCTTAATCCATTTTATCTCCCCTTTTAAAAGTAAACAGAACAACCAAGCTGGGGA